CAATGATCATATATTGATGGCATGACCACTAATTTTAATGTGGATGAAATGAAGAATGCATAATTGTGCATTTGGTTAGGACGAGAAACTCTTTACCCTACAGTATTGTGTGTGCATATGGTTTTTAATTCAACATGGAAATTCCCACTTGAGTGCAAGAAAGGCAGGCCTTATTTTTCCTAACAGGGCTTGCACATGCTGCACAAACACACACACACACACACACACACACACACGCACACACAATTTCTGTATCCCTCTAACAGCTCTTTTTCTAAGTCCATTCATAGGATTTTATGGACAATCAGCATGCTGATGACATAAATGTTGTAAGTCAAGATGACTAATGGGGTAATAACAGGATCCTGGTCACCTCAATGCTGGCCTCTTTCTCTCTGGCTCAGCTCCTTTTAGGAAGAAAAATGCAACAGTCCTATGTCACTTATGTCAGACAATGTTCCATAGGTAGCAGTGGATGGGTTTGTATATGAGACTTTCTCTGCAAAAGTCTCCAAACTGTCCTCTTTAGCATGCCATACCACCCTCTATTAATATACAGATGACATGAAGAATACCTATAGATGTTGTTATGAAGATGGTGAATTATGTGTGTGTTTGTTAAAAGTTTAGACAAGAGCAAACTCTGAAACTGTCCTATGTCAGGCTCCCTTGAAGCAGTGACTGATATGGGTTCTCATGCTAGTGACAGATTGGGGACAGGATTGCACAGACACGGTAGTCAAAATAGGTCAAAGGAGAATCTGGTAAATTTGCAGTTTTGGAGAAGGCTAAACTCACCCCAATCCCCTGAGCAGCTTTGAGCTCATAGAGTACTGGAGTTGGTCCCACTAAGGCAAGGTGGCTAGACGGCTGGGAGGCACAATCAGTTCCTGGAGGGGGGGTCATTCAACCGCTCAAATATTACATTGTCCTCTAGAGCCCAGCTTCTTAAAATGTATGATGGAGTGATGAAAAAATTGACAACAGTAAAAGGTTTCTGAATGCACAATGACAAAAATTTATTCAAAATCAAACAGGTAGCAGCTGGGTATGGTGGCACATGCCTGTAATCCCAGCACTTGAGAGGCTGAGGTAAGAGGATCAGGAGTTGAAGGGCAGCCTCAGTTATATAGTGAATTCTAGGCCAGCTCAGGCTACAGGAAACCCTGTCTGAAAACAATACACAGCAAGAAAATCACATGTATAATGAATCTGAGGTGTTTCTGCCAAGAATTATCCCAGTTACATCATGTGATTTCACTGCAGCCTTGGTTCTGAACACACAGTATGAACACCTTTCACTACACATACTGTCACACCATGTAACACCAACAGACATTGAAACACTTGGACTCAGATTCAAGACTGTTGTACGTTATGAATTGCAGTGTTTTTACTGTACATACAATTTTTTCTGCTCTTGTAGAAACACAATGGCTTAACTACAGAAAACAAACACTTAAAACTTTCCTTCCATTATTCCTCAGCATGTAAGTATCCAGTTAGAATCTCTTTGATTGTATTATTTTGGAATTTTGAAAACTGGTGCTTGAGTTGACAACTTGAGTTTCATTAAAAAAAAGTCATTCATTGAATTTTGGCTTGAGATTCAAACAGAATTTCCCGCAATTCCAGAGATGGCCCTAAATAAACTTCTTTCACTTTTTTGAAACTTACACATGGCAGGCAGCTTTTTAATGTTAATGACTGTAAAGCCGAAATACTGATCAACTCTAAAAAACATTGAAGGTGCTCTGTGTCCTGCACTAAGAATTATTCAGCCAAGATTTAATTTTCTATATTAAATAAACAAGCATATCCACCTCATTAGTATGTAAGTTTGCTTTCATAGTTAATAAATGGTAAAATGGTATTTGTATGAAAGAATTGTCCTAAAATAAGTGTATGGTTTACTATCAGTAAATGTTTGATTTGTATACCTATTTTGTATATCTATATACCTTGGATAACATAAAATTTTCTCATGTGATGACAAGTCAAAAGTAGATGAAACTTAAAGTGCCCTGCTCTAGAGACCCAACCTATCTCAGCTGTGGCATTCTGCCTAGTCCCTTGTAGCATGTACTTACACAAGTCAACAAGGATTTGATAGTAGCAGTTCGCAGACCAAGTGGCAAGAGTTCAAAACTCAGGAACCAAACGACAGTGCCTCAGTTTCCCCATCTTAGACATCTTCCCCTCCAAACACATAAAACCTCCCCTGAGGCCTGAAGTTGAGACTGACACCCTGGCTTCATTTGTGGATAAGTCACCACTTTATTATAATTTTCTGTTTCTTTGGTCCCCAAGAGGTAGGGTTGGAGTCACAGACCCTAGGCCTGGTGATGCATCATCTCCCCACCCAGTACAGTGTCTGTCCATAATGTGTTCTCAGTGGGGCAGGCCATGAGGGTTCTTTGTCCCAGAAAGACCAGTCAACATTGACCTCTTTGAGTTCCTGGCTGGATGTATCAGATGCTTTCTTCACCTTGCCTGGCCTTCTCTGTTTCCTCCTGAGTCCTTGTGTATAGAGTAGCTGCACTCCCCTTTTATACTTTTGTCCAGGCTGATTTCATTCCCATATAGTTAGGCCCCACGCAGGATAGGGTGATACATTTGTATCCAGATTTGTGAGATTCTGAAATGACAATGAGCCTGGGAGAGTAGGAATGAAGCTTGTCAGAACAGCCAGCCACAGTGGGTGACAAGCTGACTGCAGTATGGGCAGGAAGAGAGAGGAAAAGGAGGCAGTGGCAGCCCAGTGGTGATGAATCATGCCAACCAAAAATGAAGATGTCAGTGAGGGGACACAGAACATTTAGGGCCTTCTGTAATACATACCACATCACAAAGTAGAGCTGTTCTTTCATGCCAACAGATTAGTTCCAGGACCCTTCTCCACAACTCAAGTCTATGGATGCTCAAGTCCCTCATATAAAACCTTATACTGTTAAAAACTTGCCTGTAGCCCACACACTCCTGTGCACTTTAATCTCTGAGCTACTTATTATGCCAAATGCTGTGTAAATCATTGTTTTATTGTGTTGAGGGAATAAGAACAAGAAGTCTGTATATGTTTAGGATAAATGTAACCATCATAGGTCTGACTGTAGTTAGTACACACCGGCAACAATGGGGCATTTTCTTCTCATGGTTCGTCAAATCCATGAATCCCCATGGGTGTGGAGGGGAGCCTGCATTTGCTTTTATGACTTTCCTTTTCCTTGGACACCTCAAAATTATTCATGGATCACTAAAAGGACATAGGTGGAATTTCTAACAAAATAGTCTAGTAGAGGTAAATACATATTTGACAAACAAAGGCGTTTTGGTGTATATAGGGGAAGGTGGGAAGAAAGACATTGTAGAGACTCTGTGGCAGTCTCTAAATCTTCACATTCATTTTTAAGAAACAATTCTTCCCTTTAGAAAATATTCCCATTTTACAAGAAAATTGGAATTTTAAACAATTCCACCCAAGCAATACAAAGTACTGTGAGCATGCACATATTTGCTAGATGTTTAGACAAGAGCAAACGCTGAAACTATCCTATGTCAGGGGTACACGTTTTCCTTGAGCGCCTTCCTCTATGCATTTCAACTGCTGTGAAGACTTTTTCCATAAATGCTTCATAAATGCATTATGGTATCTAAATACCTCTCTGACAAGTTTCTGCATTTCTTCTTGTAAAGTCTTCTGACCCTGAGTCTGTAGCTGGGGTATTTAGAGCAAGAGCCATCTCCCATCCTGGTCCTCTATTTCCCCACCGTGAGACGCAAGAAGAACAGAAATTACCAAATAGGTTTCAAGGTGACTCGGACCTCTAGCCAGCACTACTCCAGACACTGGGTGAAGGTCATAGGAAGGGTTCTGGAGGCCAGCGTAAGGACTCTCAGTAGATCCTTCTACTAGCTGGGCCGTGAGCTGGCCACCTGCCTAGCCGTCCAATTCTAGCTGTGTCTTCATGCTTCAACCAAGAGGACCGCGCGGGTTCCTACGCCGCTGTTGAGCTCCTGAGGCTTTGCCCACTTTTGCGCGATTAGCTTGAGCAGTCAACAGACGGAGGACGCAGCCTCCACCCCCAGGTGCGCAGAGGGGAGGACCCCAGGCGTCCAGGGTCTGGGGGCGGGTGAAGTGAGGTGACTGCCCTCTCCAGGAGTCAGTCCGGAGCTGGCTGCGTCCGAGTAAAGCGTCGTCTTCTTGGCCCTCCGCAGTGGCCCGGGGGCGGATTGACGTGGCGGCGCCCATCCTGGCCCCCTGTGGTTTCCCGAGGCCCAGGGAGGCGGTGAGGAGAGGGTGGGAAGAGGGAGGAGCTCGAGGAGCCAGAGAGTGCAGACGGAGGCGGAGCCGCTGGTAGAGACGCGGGGCGGGCAGAGTTGCTGAGAGCAGAGGAGGAGCTCTTGAGGGACATGGAGGAGGAGCAGCAAGCGAGAAGGGTAGAAGAGGGGGGTGGGGCAAGGGGCGAGGGAGGAGGAAGGCCAGGAGGAGGCCGGGGGAGGAGCCTTGGAGGGAGATTGAAAGAGCAGCAGAGAGAAGGGGCGGAGCAAGCCTGGAGGGGGCGGAGCGTGGAAACGCACCGCCCCCCCGACGCGGCTGCGAAGAGCGAAGATGGCCGGACGGGCCCCTGGAGTGGAGGAGTCGCCGACAGCTGCGGTTGCGGCTCCGGCTCTGGGGCTGTGACTTCGCGCGCCGCAGCAACCGGGGCCACCGGGGCGAAGCGGACAGCACAGGTAGCGGCTCATCTAGCCGCTTGGGCGCCGGCGAGCAGGCGCCCAGCGGAGGATGCGCCGGGTGCGGCGGGCGGCTCCCCGCGGCCGCCCCCGCGCCCC